GCCCGCGTAAACACAGTTTTGTTTACGCCCGTCCTTCACAATTTTTTCCCACAGTTCGCCACATTTGCCGAATTCAGCGCAAACCGAATTTTGCTCACGTAGCGGGGTGTTTTCTCACGAACTGGGGCGTACACGAATCTTGGCGCACGTCCCTGACGTCATCGAGGAGCCCCGCTGGGCGAAAGGTCCCAGCCCACCCCGTGGGCCACGCGGCGTCGCTGGCGCGGGGGGTGCGCCAACCACGTCTGGCTCACGCAGCCCCTGGACCGCGGTTGCCGCAACCTCCGCGAACCTGGGCAGCCCGGGCCCCCGCTCGGGCGGCCGCGGCGGCCTCGGGGGGGCGGGGGAGCCGGAGCCGCCCGCGGGGCCCCTCTGCGCCGCCTCGGGGGGGAGGCCCCCAGGAGGCCCGCGAGGGCCCCGAGAGGGCCCACAAGGGCTCCTGGGGCCCTCCTAGGGCCCGAGGCGAACGTCGGAGCCCTCCTGGGGCCCTCCTCCCCCTCCTCCTCCTCCTCCTCCTCCTCCTCCTCCTCCTCCTCCTCCTCCTCGTTCTCCTCCTCCTCCTCCTCCTCCTCCTCCTCCTCCTCCTCCTCCTCCTCGTTCTCCTCCTCCTGGAGTCCTCCTGGGGCCCTCCTGGGGCCCGAGGCGAACGTTCCTTGCCCGAACATGCGACGACCGCCTCGTCCCAGCCGGGCCAGTGCAGCCGAGGCGGCGTCGAGGCTGGCCCAGAGGTCGTCGGCGGGGTCGTGCGCCAGCGCGACGTCCAGCATGTCGCGCGCAGCCTGCATGGCCGACACGTCCAGGACGTGGTTCTCGTGGTTTTGGAGGGCGCGCGCGCCCTCGACGTCTTCATCTAGGATGCTCTCGCTGAGTAAATCTTGCAGGAGGAAGTCTAGGGTAGGCCGCATCCTAAAGTAGCCCAGGGTAGACCCTACCCCAGGCCCTAGGGTAGCCTTCAGCAGGGCCTACCCTAGGCATGAGGATAGCCTGGGGAAAGCCCACCAAAGAGTCCTAGGGGTAGGCCTAGGGTAGGCCTAGGAGTAGGCTCTAGGGGTACACCACGGGACACCACGGGACACCACAGGACACATCTCGGGCCCTCTTGTTGGCCTTTTGGGGCCCCTGTTGGGGCCCTCCGAGAAGCTTGGAGGGGTGCTAAGAGGGGCCCAAACCAGATAGATCAGACATCTACGTGGAGTTTAACTCCCCTGGAGCCCTCTTGGATTGCTTTTGGAGCTCTGACAGGCCCTCTTCTAGCCCTCTCGGGACCCTCTTGGCGGCCTTTTGGGGCCCCTCTTGGGGCCCCTCTTGGGGATCTCCGAGGTGCTCGGAGGAGCCCAGAGGGGCTCCAAGAGGGGCCCAGACCAGATAGGTCAGTGATCTATATGGCTTTTGGCTCTCTTGGGACCCTCCTAGACCTCTCTTGGAGCTCTGAATGGCCCTCTTGCGGCCCTCTCGGAGCCCTCTCGGGGCCTCTTGGAGGCCTCTCGGGGCCCCTGTTGGGACTTTCCGAGGAGCGCGGAGGAGCTCGAAGGGGATCCAAGACGGGCCAAAACCACCAGTGATCTATCTGGTTGTGGGTCCTCTCGGAGTCCTCTCGGAGCAGCCAACAGGGCCCCAGGCCCCACGAGAGCGCCCGAACCAACCTCTTGAGGCCGCCTTGGAACACTTCCTGGTGCTCCCAGGACGTCCTGAAGAGTTCCAGTAGGGCCCCAGGGGGTGGCGCGGTATCTCGGAGACCCCATGTTGTGTATTCCTCAGCACCAGAAGCGCTGATGCATGCGTCGGCGATGCATGCGTCGATGGGGCATGATCTTCCGACCCTTCGACTCGGGCCCTAGCTGGGCAGCCTCTAGCGGTTCAGTTCATTGGATCGGTTTCGAGAATTCGCTGGAAGGATTAGTGGGCTCGCGTCGACCGTGCGCTTCTTTGGAGAAGCCAGGGGTGCTTCTGTGCGCCTGAGGGCCCGTCCTATCCAGGCAAAGCGCCTGCGCTTAGCATCGCCGTCCCCCCTGGCCCGGGGCGTCTCAGCCTTGGAGGGTCACTCGCCCTGCAAGGCTAAGGCCATGCCTGTGGGGATAGGGGCCGCTCAAACGATGATCATCCGCCCCATTCCCTCCCCACCCCACGCCCCACCCACTGCCCCCTTTTTGTGCCCCTCTATCTCTCTCTCTCTCTGTCTCTATCTCTCTCTCTGTCTCTATCTCTCTCTCTTTCTCTCTCTCGCTTGCTTGAGTTGCTTGCTGCGTTGCCGTTGCTTTCCGTCGCTTATTGTTCACCCTGGCCAGTTCGGGTACTTCTGGAGGCGACCCTGGGGGAAAGACGCGCGTGATCCTTCCGTGGTATCCCAGGGACGAGTTCGGGCAATTCTGGAGGCGACTCTGGGGGAGACGCGCGTGATCCTTCCGTGGCATCCCAGGGGATGGGGAGCACCTTCGGGGGATCTGCCCGGAGGACCGGCGGGTTGGGCCGAAGCCCCCCCAGTGGGAGTTCTGCAGAGAAACGAACCCCCACAGCTTGCCAGACGTTTTCGGCACGCCGCGCACCCCCGTGGCAGGACCAAAAAGGTTGCAAAAAAGGATTGCAAAAAAACCCTCACTTGAACAAAGGATTGCAACAACAACCCTTTTTTTTGCAATCCTTTTTGCAATCCTTTTTGCAATCCTTTTTGCAATCCTGCGGATCGAATGTCAGTTTGGCCCATTCCGCCACCGTGCCCGGGCTTTGGGTCGGAGGCCTCTCGGAGGTTCGTCGGGATCTCGTCGAGGCCTCTCGGAGGCCTCCCGGAGGGCAGTTTCGAGGCCTCTGGGGGGCCGTCTCGCGGCCGCCCGGTCGCCTCTTGGGGCGGAAGGCTAGGATTTTCGGGTCGTGTTCCCCCTCTTGGGCACCTCTTGGGGCCGTCTTGGTGCCCTCTGAGGCCGTCTTGGGCAACGAACCGTCTTAGGGCCCTCTTGGGCCGTCTTGGGGCCCCCTTGGGGGCGGAAGCTCGAAAAGTGGAGAACCCAGCGCACATAGGAACACCTAAGGATCGTTACTGTTTTGGCCTCTTGGGGCCCTCTTGGGAAGGCTCCTTGGGCTCTCTTGATTTTGTGGCGCCCCGAAGTCTTCTTGGGCCATCTTGGAGCCACCTTGAGCGTCTTGGGCCGATCGTGTAACGATTCGGGGCGCCCTTGGACCGTCTGGGCGGCCTCTTGGGGGTCTCGTGGCCCGTCTTGGGATCCTCTGGGCCCCGAAAGAGTCATGCGGGAACACTCGGGCGAACCCACTGAGCACGCGGGGAACCTTGGAAATCGGGGTCCAGGCCCCTTCGTAGAATCCTCAGGATCGACGACTGAGGCCCAGGGGGTTGACAAGGGACCTGGGGGCACTCCACTTCATGCCATCAGAGCACGGTGGCGGATATACAGCGCCTCCCTGTCGCACCCCCGAACTCGTCGGTAACGCCGCGCACATTCATTTCAAAAGTCCGCGAGCTTCAAGTGTGGAGCGAGGTTGATTTCAAACTGTGGTGCTCGCTGTAACGCCGCGCGCGTTCGTCTTACCAGTTTGCAGCAGCTTCAAGGAGTGAGGGCGGCCAGTTTTCATAATGTGGCTATCGCTTCAGCGCCTCGCACACTCGTCTTACAAGTTTGCAGCAGTTTCAATGATGTCAACCTGCTATTTCTCAACAGGTGCCTCTCGCTTTAGCGCCGCTCGTATTCCTTCTACAAGTTCGCAGCCGTTTCGAGGATTCGTATTGTTGAAGCCCCAAGAGAGGTGTGTTGGCACGGCTTCGGATTGCCAGGACACAACGGGCGCGTTGGTTGCGGCGTTGACATCCCAGCAATTAGGCTTTGACGCGATTGAGGATCCCCAGGCGGTTTTCCTCAGATGAGGCATTACCCGCACTGAACATGGATTCCTTTAGGGACCCATGAAGGAGAGCTTGGAAGGGGGGGGATATTGCAGCATGGTTGATGCGTCTTGGGTTTGCACTTGCCCTCCTCCTCCCTCTCCTCGTCCTTGTCCTTAGATGCAACTCTTGGCGTTGTTACGTCTGTGGTCGAACGTCTGCCTACTCCTGCACGATCCTGCTCAACTCCGCAATCCCGCCGAATCCTTCAAGCGCTGGTATAATTGGAGGCTTCATATGGATTGCCCGGCTCAGCGGCCTCCTGATCGGGCTTCACAGCTCCTGATCGTTCTCACGGAAACCTCCCAGGAGCTGCCTCCTAATCTTCCTCCTTTTCCTCCCCCGCTTCTTCCTCCTCCTCCTCCTCCTCCTCCTCCTCTGACTAAAGCTGTTGGTTCTGAGCCTTGGCCCATCCCAGGCGAGGACAGGGGCCTGATCTGGCCCAGCCGCGGAGCGGCGCGGCGAACTCGCCGATGCACCGGCACAGCTGCCATTATTAGGAGAACGGGCACTGCTAGGAGAACGAGGAACACCTGGAGGCCTCGCGCGGCAACTTGAGACCCGATTTGCGTCGGATCCACGTCGGATTTACGTCGGGTTCACGTCGGAGGTGACGTAATGGCAGATGTAATGGTTCGGGGAACGATGAACGACATAAACATAAAAGCTCGAAGGCCCGCGCGGATTTCTCGGATCCGCGCTGGACCCCCCTCCCTGGCGCGGATCCGAGAAACCCGCGCGGGCCTCCGAGTTTTCAATGTTTCTGTCACCCTTCGTTCCCCGAACCATGACATCTGCCACTACGTCCCCTCAGACGTGAACCCGACGTAAAAAGCCGAGCCGCGCGAGGCCTCCAGGATTTTCTTCATGACATTGCCTCCTCCCCACTCCTCGGAACGTCGGGACATTTTCTTCATAACATGACCTCCTCCCTCCCCCTCTCCAGGATTTCCTTCATAACATTACCTCCTCCCTCCCCCTCTCCCTCTCCCTCCCTCCAGGATTTTCTTCATAACATTGCCTCCTCCCTCCCTCCCCCTCCGAACGTCTGTCCTCGGAGCGCTCTCCCCCTCCCCCCGCCGCCGGCCCCCCGGGCGGCGCGTCGGCGGAGGACCTCTGCAGGGCGCTGTCCTGGCTCCTCGCGCAGCTCCTGGGCGCCGCCGTGCGGCTCCCGCAGGGGGCCACAGGCGAGACCCACCCTCGTCCTCATCCTCCTCCTCCTCCTCCTCCTTCCTCCTCCTTCCTCCATCCTTCCTCTCCTCCTCCTCTCCTCCTCCTCTCCTCCTCCTCCTCCTCCTCCTTCCTCCATCCTTCCTCCTCCTCCTTCCTCATCCCTCCTCCTCCTTCCTCCATCCTTCCTCCATCCTTCCCCTCCTGCTTCCTCCTCCTGCTTCCTCTCCTCTCCTCCTCCTCCTCCTCTCCTCTCCTCCTCCTCCTCCTCCTCTCCTCCTCCTCCTTCCTCCCTCCTCCTCCTTCCTCCTCCTCCTCTCCTCCTCCTCCTCCTCCTCCTCCTCCTTCCTCCTCCTCCTCCTCCTCCTCCTCCTCCTCCTCCTCCTCCTCCTCCTCCTCTCCTCCCCTCCTCCTCCTCCTCCCCTCCTCCTCCTCCTCCTCCTCCTCCTCCTCCTCCCCCTCCTCCCCTCTGGGGTTCACTTCGTTCGGGAGCTCCCGAGCGAAGTGAGCCCCACCCTCTCCCTCAGGAATCGTGGGGGGTGGGGGTAGGGTTCGCATGTGGCCCCCTATCCCGGGAGAGGAGGAGGAGGGAGGGGGAGTCGGGGGTGGCAAAGAGGGGGGTTATGACTAGGGGTGTGTGTGTATATCATGGCCAGGGCCATGATGCCTTCCCAGATTTCATGGCACGTCTTCATGTTTCAATACGTCCCCGGCACCACCCTGGGCCGCGCACATGCCTCGGGACATGATTTGCGTCCCCCCCCTCTTGGACACCCCCCTCTTGGCCACTCCCGAGGGAGGGAGGACGGGGGGAGGGAGGGAAGGAGGGAGCGAAGGAGAGAGGAGGAGGAGGACCAGTGTAAACCCAAGACTCATCAGCCACTGATGGACGTGCACCATTAGGTGTCAACCGTTAGGAGATCCTGAAGCGTGCCAGAACAACATTCTAAGAACTCGAAGGCCACGAATCAACCTGACTTCTGCGTCTTGACGGTCATGACTCGCGCCAGATCATCATTTTGGGACTTCAACACCGCAAGACAACGTAACATTCGCGCCCTAACAATTCTGAGTCGCTCCAAAACACTATTTCTGGTACGTTGACCATGCGAAGCCGTGACATTCTTGCAAATGGTGAGACGAAGGCGCGCGGCGAGAAGGCAATAACCACATTTTTGAAAGGAGCCACTCTCCACCCGTGAAACCCGTGCACCTATTTAGAGCAAGGGCGCGCGGCGCCATGGCGAGAGCCGCATTTCGGAAACGGCGTGCTGTCCGTCCGTGAAGCTCGTGCAAACGTTTGAGATTAATGTGCGCGGCGCTAAGGCGAGAGCCACAGCTTGGAAGCCGCCCGCCCTCCACTATCTTTGCAATTGCTGCCAATTTCCTAGCTTCGGGATCATACACGGTAAGGAAGTCTAAGGCGAAACGCAGGGCCCGCCCGCCCTTCCGACTGGCTTCGGAGTAGGATGATGATGATGATGATGATGATGATGATGATGATGATGATGATGATGATGATGATTATGATGGTGATGATGATGACGATGGTGATGATGCTGATGCTGATGCTGATGATGATGATGATGATGATGATGATGATGATGCTGCTGATGATGATGAGGATGATGATGATGATAATGATGATGATGATGCTGATTATAATGGTGATGCTGCTGATGATGATGATGATGATGCTGATGATGATGATTATGCTGATGATGCTGATGATGACGATGATGATGATGATGATGATGATGATGATGATGATGATGATGAGGAGGAGGAGGAGGAGGAGGAGGAGGAGGGAGGAAGGATGAGGGAGGAAGGAGGAGGGAGGAGGGAGGAATCCGTAGCCATTTTGGCTCAAGCTGGTCTCAAACCCCCTGCTAGTAATTTTCGCATCGCGCATGACCAGTCTCTGGAGGCAGCGCTGCCGGAGTGTTGGGGACCCCTGAGATGGCTGGGGAAGGCGCGGATGAGCGCCCAGGGCATCGATGTGCCCAGTCTCGGAAGCTTGCCAGCGAGCAAGCCAGGTTGTCCGCAGATGGCGCCATCCGACGCCTATCTGGTCAGGTGTACGCTCTGCAGGCGGAGTTACAGTCTCTGCACGGCTGCCTGGAGGAGGTGTTTGGGGATGCCCAGCTCGCGGACCGCATCTTTGCTCACACTCCTGCTCTTCGGGCCCTCCTCCACGGTATTTCGCCTGGTCGTGAAGCAGTGCTGCGTCGGAACGTCGCCCTCCACGCGGACGCGAAGGGCTGCAAGGTGTCCACCGCGTCCCCCGCTGCTCTTCGCTCGCTCCAGAGGTCCGATCGTCTGGAGGTCCGTCGTAAGTGTGCTGGGCATCCGCACTTCCAGCCGAATCCCCCGGGGCGGAGGTGTCCGTCCCGTGCGCGCCGCCCCAGTGCTACGCGAGGGTGGTCGGTGGCAAGCATAGAGGCCTGTGAACCGCAGCGCTGCATCGAGAAGGTCTACAGGATTCGTCTCGGCCTCCCGCCCAAGGCTGACCTGCCGAGGGCCCAAGGGCGCTGAACTTTTGGGTCTGGCGGGGTGGTGGCGGCTTGGTCCACTTGGCTCGCCCCCACCTTGGCCGCTCTGTTCCCCTCCATACGCTTGCGCCTGTCGCCAGCGCCCAAGGTGGCCGACTGGGCCGCCCGGCACCTGAGCTCGCGCCGCGCGAGCTTGGAAGCGCAACTAAAACGTCCCAGCGGCGGAACTCGCATGCGGTTCCTGCGCCCAGTGCGTTTGGTCGTGGCCTCACAGGGAGCTCAATCGAAGGTCCCAGTGGTGGATGTCGCATGCGGTTCCTGCGCCCAGAGCGGCGTTGTGTGGCCCCGCGGGGAGCTCCACCGAAGGTCCCAGTGGCGGAACTCGCGTGTGGTTCCTGCACCCAGTACAACGTTTCGTGGCCTCACAGGGAGTTGCACCGAAGGTCCCAGTGGCGGAACTCGCATACGGTTTCTTCGCCCATTGTAGCGTTTCGTGGCCTCATAGGAGGCTCCACCGACGGTTCCAGTGGCGGAACTCGCATGCGCTCCCCCCCATCCAGCACAGCGCTGCGTGGCCCAACAGGGAACTCCACCGAAGGCCCCAGTGGCGGAACTCGTATGCGGTTTCTGTGCCCAGTGCAGCGTTTTGTGGCCTCATAAAGGCGATCCACCGAAAGGTTCCAGTGGCGGAGCTCGCATGCTGTTCCTGCGCCCAGATCATCTTTTCGTGGCCCCATAGGGAGCTCCACCGAAGGTCCCAGTGGTGGAGGTCGCATGCGGTTCCTGCGCCCAGTGCGTCTGTTCGTGGCCTCGTATGGAGCTCCACCGAAGGTCCCAGTGGCGGAACTCTTGTGCGGTTCCTGCACCAGCACAGCATATCGGGACCCCACATGGAGCTCCACCGAAGGCTTCAGTGGCACCGCCCGCGTGCGTCACCCCCAGCCAGTACAGCGCTTCGTGGCCACATAGGGATCTGCACCGAAGGTCCCAGTGGTGGAGCTCGCATGCGTCGCCCCCACCCGGTGCAGCGTCTCGTGGCCCCATAGGGAGCTCCACCGACGTCCCCAGTGGCGGCCCCGCCCCATTGCGGCGCACCCCTCACGCATTTCGCGGCCCATCAGTGCGTCCCGCCTAATCACCAGCGGCAGCGCTCACATGGCGGCCCCGCCCCACATCGGCACACCCTTCGCATGCTTCATGCCTCCATGAGGAGATCCCCCGACTGCGATACCCGAAAGGACGGTACTCACAATTGCATATGCTTTGGCCCTTCGCCATGGTACCTTTCCCAATCATCCTGTGGTGTCGGCCCTCGTTTTGAAGAGGCAGCGCCCCGCGCCCTCACTTCTCTCCTCCTCCCTCCTCCCCCTCCGCCCTCCTGCATCGCCATCATCATCATCATCATCATCATCATCATCATCATCATCATCATCATCATCATCATCATCATCATCATCATCATCATCATCATCATCGTCATCAGCATCATCTTCATCATCACCATCATCACCATCATCATCATCAGCATCAGCATCATCATCACCATCACCATCAGCATCATCATTATCATCCTCATCATCATCATCAGCATCATCATCACTACCACCACCACCACCACCATCATCATCATCATCATCATCATCATCATCATCATCATCATCATCACCATCATCATCATCATCATCATCACCATCATCCGTTTCATCGCGCCCCTCAGACGTTCCGTGGCCCCATATGGAGCTCCACCGAAGGCCCCAACGGGACCGCCCGCATGCGTCACGCACCGCCCAGTACAGCGCTTCGTGGCCCCATAGGGAGCCCCACCGAAGGTCCCAAGGGGGCCGCCCGCGTGCGTCACGCACCACCCAGTACAGCGCTTCGTGGCCCCATAAGGGGGCTCCACAGACGGCCCCACTGACACCGCCCGCATGCGTCACGCACCACCCAGTACAGCGCTTCGTGGCCCATAGGGAGCTCCACAGACGGCCCCAGTGACACCGCCCGCATGCGCTACGCACCACCCATTACAGCGCTCCACCGAAGGTCTCAGTGGGACCGCCCGCATGCGTCACGCACCACCCAGTACAGCGCTTCGTGGCCCCACAGGGAATTCCACCGACGGCTCCAGTGGGACCGCCCGCATGCGTCACGCACCACCCAGTCCAGCGTTTCGTGGTCCCATAGGGAACCCCACCGACAGCCCCAGTGGGACTGCCTGCGTGCGCCCCGCACACCCAGTACAACGCTTCGTGGCCCTATAGGGCGCCCCACCGAAGATCCCAGTTTGACCGCCCGCACGCGTCCCGCACACTCAGTTTAACGCTTCGTGGCCCCGTAGGGGGCTTCACCGCAGGTCCCAGTGGGACCGTCCGCATGCGTCGCCCCCCACCCAATACAGCGTTTCGTGGTCCCATAGGGGGCCCCACCGAAGGTCCAAGTGGGACCGTCCGCATGCGCCCCGCACACCCAGTACAGCGCTTCGTGCCCCCATTGAGACCCCCACAGAAGGTCCCAGTGGGACCGCCCGCATGCGTCCCGCACACCCAGTCCAGCTTTTCGTGGCCCCGTGGGGAGCCCCACCGATCCGTGGCCCCATAGAGAGCTCCACCGAGGGCCCCAGTGGTAAAGTCCACATGCGTTTCCCCACCCAGCTCAACGTTTCGTGGCCCATAGGGAGCTCCACCGATGGCCCCAGTGGCAAAGTCCGCATGCGTCCCCACCTCCCAGCACAACGTTTCGTGGCCCATAGGGAGTTTCACCGAAGGCTCCAGTGGCAAAGCCCGCATGCGTCTCCCCCACCCAGCACACCGTTTCGTGGCCCATGAGGAGCTCCACCGAAGGCCCCTGTGGCAAAGTCCGCGTGCGTCCCCACCTCCAAGCGCAACGTTTCGTGGCCCATAGGGAGCTCAACCGAAGGCCCCAGTGGCAAAGTCCGCATGCGTCTCCCCCACCCAGTGCAGCGTTTCGTGGCCCATGGGGAACTCCACCGAAGGCCCCAGTGACAGGGTCCGCATGCGTGTCCCCCACCCAGGGGTAGCGTCTCGTGGCCCCATCGGGAGCTCCACCGAATACGATACCATAATTGTGGCCCACAACTACAGATGGTTGGGTCCTTCGCCAGGCTAAATTGTATTGCTTTTCGTTGCATGTCCTTGCTCGTCCTTGTTATTGCTTGCTTGTCGTGTCTTTTCCTTGCTCGTCGTTGCTCTTTGTTGGTGCTCCTTGCGCTTTCTTGATTGTCATTGCTCTTCTTTGTTGTTTTCTGTTGTTTTGTTGCATATCCGTGCCATGATTGTTCTTCTTTGTTTTTTCTTGCTCTCTCTCTCTCTGGTTTTTCCTTGCTTCTCCGTGCGCTTCCTTGGAGTTCCTTGCGCATCCAGGTGTTTGTCTTGTGCTCTCCTTTGAGTTTCGTCGTCGTGTTTTGCTTTTCCTTGTATTTCCTTGCTGGTCCTTGTTTGCCCGTGTTCATTACTGTTGTTAAGTGTTTTTCTTTGTTTGTCATCTCTTATTTGTTCATGCATGTTTCTCATCGTTCGTCCTTGCCGTTTTTTGTTGTTCCTTGCGTTTCGTTGCTCTTCATTGTTTTTCCCAACCATCCTGTGGTGTTGGGCCCTCGTTTTGAAGAGACGGTGCCCCGCGTTCCCCTCCTCCTTCCTCCTCCCCCTCCTCCCTCCTCCCCCTCCTTGCCTCTGCTCTCGGCACACCTCTCACGCGTTTCGTAGCCCCATAGGGAGCTCCACCGAAGGCCCCAGTGGGGGTGTTCGCATGCGGTTCCCCCACCCAGGGCAGCGTTTCGTGGCCCCATAGGGAGCTCCACCGAAGGCCCCAGTGGGGGTGTTCGCATGCGGTTCCCCCACCCAGGGCAGCGTTTCGTGGCCCCATAGGGAGCTCCACCGAAGGCCCCAGTGGGGGTGTTCGCATGCGGTTCCCCCACCCAGGGCAGCGTTTCGTAGCCCCATAGGGAGCTCCACCGAAGGCCCCAGTGGGGGTGTTCGCATGCGGTTCCCCCACCCAGGGCAGCGTTTCGTGGCCCCATAGGGAGCTCCACCGAAGGCCCCAGTGGGGGTGTTCGCATGCGGTTCCCCCACCCAGGGCAGCGTTTCGTAGCCCCATAGGGAGCTCCACCGAAGGCCCCAGTGGGGGTGTTCGCATGCGGTTCCCCCACCCAGGGCAGCGTTTCGTGGCCCCATAGGGAGCTCCACCGAAGGCCCCAGTGGGGGTGTTCGCATGCGGTTCCCCCACCCAGGGCAGCGTTTCGTAGCCCCATAGGGAGCTCCACCGAAGGCCCCAGTGGGGGTGTTCGCATGCGGTTCCCCCACCCAGGGCAGCGTTTCGTGGCCCCATAGGGAGCTCCACCGAAGGCCCCAGTGGGGGTGTTCGCATGCGGTTCCCCCACCCAGGGCAGCGTTTCGTAGCCCCATAGGGAGCTCCACCGAAGGCCCCAGTGGGGGTGTTCGCATGCGGTTCCCCCACCCAGGGCAGCGTTTCGTGGCCCCATAGGGAGCTCCACCGAAGGCCCCAGTGGGGGTGTTCGCATGCGGTTCCCCCACCCAGGGCAGCGTTTCGTGGCCCCATAGGGAGCTCCACCGAAGGCCCCAGTGGGGGTGTTCGCATGCGGTTCCCCCACCCAGGGCAGCGTTTCGTGGCCCCATAGGGAGCTCCACCGAAGGCCCCAGTGGGGGTGTTCGCATGCGGTTCCCCCACCCAGGGCAGCGTTTCGTGGCCCCATAGGGAGCTCCACCGAAGGCCCCAGTGGGGGTGTTCGCATGCGGTTCCCCCACCCAGGGCAGCGTTTCGTGGCCCCATAGGGAGCTCCACCGAAGGCCCCAGTGGGGGTGTTCGCATGCGGTTCCCCCACCCAGGGCAGCGTTTCGTAGCCCCATAGGGAGCTCCACCGAAGGCCCCAGTGGGGGTGTTCGCATGCGGTTCCCCCACCCAGGGCAGCGTTTCGTGGCCCCATAGGGAGCTCCACCGAAGGCCCCAGTGGGGGTGTTCGCATGCGGTTCCCCCACCCAGGGCAGCGTTTCGTAGCCCCATAGGGAGCTCCACCGAAGGCCCCAGTGGGGGTGTTCGCATGCGGTTCCCCCACCCAGGGCAGCGTTTCGTGGCCCCATAGGGAGCTCCACCGAAGGCCCCAGTGGGGGTGTTCGCATGCGGTTCCCCCACCCAGGGCAGCGTTTCGTGCCCCATAGGGAGCTCCACCGAAG